CCTCGTGCAGCCCCGTTGCTTCCCGGAGCACCCAGGCCCTCCGCCCGCCGCCCTCGGGACCGGCCTGCTTCTACCCTGGTCGTTTCCGCGAACCAACAGCCAACGATCGTCAACTTCCCCCGGCCAAATCGAGAGTCTGAGGGCAGCGCATTCTCTTCATCACGTTTCCAACATTGTTAAATTAAAAACTATATTTTTCTTGGTTTCAGAGAGGAAGGAAGAGGGAGAGATAGAAACATAAAGGATGAGAGAGAATCATTGATCGGCAGCCTCCTGCACGCCCCACACTGGGGCTCGAGCCCGCAACCCGGGCACTTGCCCTGACCCGGAATGAACGGTGATCTCCTGGTTCACAGTTCGATGCTCAACCACTGAGCCATGCTGCCAGGCAAGTTTCCAACATCTTAAAAAAAAATTACACGCCATAAACCCTACCTCAGCTCCAGATCTTCAAATACTGATGTCTCATCCACCTCTACCCCTCAAACCAACCTTTTCTATATAGTATTGCTAACTTATTCAACAAATTTTGTTGAACACCTATTGTGTTCCAGGCCCTGGCAGAGGAGGTTTGAGTTCACAGTCTAATGGAAGGAAAGAGGGAGCACAGACGTTTTTGAAGACTCAAACTAATGGAGCCCGGCCAGTGTGGCTCAGTGGTTGAGCATCTACCTATGAACCAGGAGGTCACAGTTAGATTCCTGGTCAGGGCACATGCCCAGGTGGCCCGGTTGGTCCTAGTTGGGGGCATGCAGGAGGCAGCCAATCAATGATTCTCATCATTGATGTTTCTCTCCCCCTTCCTCTTTTAAATCAATAAAAATATATTTTAAAAAATAAGCTAGTGGAGAGTTATAGCCGTGAAGTGATAAGTTAGAGGTCAGTGATAACTTTGAGTATCTATAATCAGGTCTTGCCTTGGTAGGTCAGGGAAGGCTTTTCCTGATGAACTAAAGCTTGATAAGATCTGATGTCTTTATGCAAAGAAGGGAGGGAAACCCTCAAAGCAAAGGGAGTAAGGTGTGAAAGGTTGTGTAGCTGGAGGGAGAGCATGGTGAGTACAAAGGCTTTTTTAAAAAGGTCTCTGCAGGGGGTGCCAGAGTGGATTAGGGTAGAACAGTTAGGCTACTGAAACTATCAACGCCTGGATTGTTGGAACTTGAAGGGTGGTGTGGGGAGGTGGGAAGAGAAACGCAGGGAGGAGAAAGGGGCATTCTTGAAGACTTGTTGAAGAGGTGTTGGGTCAGATGGGAGAGGGGAAAGGGAAATGCTAAGGTTTCTGGATGCGTAACTGAATGAATTATACCATTTCCTGAGCAAGGGCCCTGGAGGATAATCACTTTTGTGGCAGGGGTGCAGGGGAAATGATCATGAATCCAGTTTTAAACATACTAAGTTTGAAGTGCATTTGAGACATCTAGTGGCTGTTAAATAGACAGCAGGATATATGAGTCCTGAGTGTGGAGAATTCTAAGCTAAATATATAAATACTTAAGTCATCTACCTTTAGGTGTTGATTGAAATGTTTGGCTCCAAAGCACAACCAGAGCGAAAGGCCTTAGAAAGCAAAAGGGGCCCAGCCAGCCTGGCTCATACCTATGTATGAGCCAGGTCACGGTTCGATTCCCGGTCAGGACACATGCCCGGGTTGCGGGCTTGATCTCTGGTGTGGGGCATGCAGGAGGCAGCTAATCAATAATTCTCTCTTATCACTGATGTTTCTATCTCTCTCTCCGCCTCCCTTCCTCTCTGAAACCAATAAAAATATATTTAAAAATATTTTTAAAAAGAGAGAGCAAAAGAGACTTGACCTCTAATTACAGAAGGAAAAAGGGGGATGGCTGCAGATATATGCAGGTTTGCATGATTTCTGGAAAATGAATGTCCTTTGATGTTTGCTGTATTCTTTGTGAAGTAGGAAATAGGTCATTTATTGATAGAGAAGGAGAGTTCTAAAGTTTTAAGAAAGTGGAAAAGTTTTAAGATAATCTTTGTGGAAAATGAGTTAATACATAAACATAGTAGGATAGCAACACAACAGTAGTGTCCACTTGAGGCTGGTTAATTTCCACACTTCTCCCTGTTACCCTTGCTACCAGTGTCACCTCTCCACTGGATTCCCGCAGTATAGCCTTCTGAGTTCCTGTTTCCTTTCTCACCCCCTTTTCCCCAACGCACCTTTTCTCACAAAGTGCCTTAAGTTATCTTTTAAAAGTGTAAATCAGCCTGGCTGGTGTGGCTCATGGTTGGGCGTCGACCCATAAACCAATAAGTCATGGTTTGATTCCTGGTCAGGACACATGCCTGGGTTGCGGCTTGATCCCTAGTAGGGGAGGTGCAGGAGGCAGCCCATCAGTGATTTTCTCTCATCATTGATGTATCTAACTATCTCTCCCTCTCCCTTCCTCTCTGAAATCAATAAAAAAAATACTTTTTGGAAGTATAAATCAGCCTTGTCTGGGTAGCTCAGTTGGTTAAAGTGTCTTCCTCATACACCAAGGTTGTGGGTTCGATCCTTGGTCAGAGTACATACGAGAAAAAGTCAACCAATGGATGCATAAATAAGTGGAACATCAAGTCTGATGCTTGTTTCTCTCCCTCTCTTCCTCCTTCCCTTCCTCTCACTCCAATCAATCAATGAATCAATCAAAAAAACCACAACTATAAATCAGATTATGTCACTTCTCTGTCCAGAACTTTTCAGTGGCTTCCTATCACATTAGCAATAATCCAATCCAGAGTCCTTAACCTTGCCTATAAAGCCCAGTGTCACATGAACTGGTTCTAATCTCCTACCCTCTCCTGGTCAGCCTTGCTGACCTTACTGTTTTTTGAAAGAGTCAGGCATATTCTCACTTTGCACTTATTATTCTTACAGCCTGGACTATTCTTCGTTCACATCTTTTTTTTTTTTTTTTAGTATAGCAAGCAAGAATTTTATTGGCCGTAGCAAAAGCACATTCAGATGGGATGTTTTTTAAAGCTGGAGACAGTGAAATAAGGAAGAGCTTAGCATTGAAGAAGTAACAGGAAAGCCTAGGTTGGGCTGTTTTGGCTCCCTGGGAAGTCAGAGAAAAGGGGGCCTTGGAGACAGGTTCAGGGGGTTAACTGAGGACCAGCCGCTTCCACTGCTCCTCTGGTTGGGGTAGAGTTTAGGAGATGCTTGCCTGTGGGGGAAGAAAAGGAGAAGGGGAAGGTGCAGCATGCTCCCCAGAGGAAGAGTGCATGCCACTCACATCTATTGTTTGCTTGTTCTTTCTTTTTATTTTTAAAAATATATTTTTGTTGATTTCAGAGAGGAAGGGAGAGGAAGAGATAGAAATATCAATGATGAGAGAGATCATTGATCAGCTGCCTCCTGCACAACCCCCCCTCCCCCCCTGACTGGGAATTAAACTGTGACCTCATGTTTAAAAGGCGATGCTCAACCACTGAGCCACACCAGCTGAGCTTGTTCTCCCTTTTTATTCAGATCTTTGCTCAAATATTGTTTTTTTTTTCAGATACATTTTCCCTGACAACCCTGTCTAAAATAACACCCAGTCAGCTCAATCCCTTATCCTGTTTGATTTTTCTCCATACCTCTTATCACTTCCAACTAAGATATAAGTGTCATAGGGTAAGTATTTGATTTTGTTCTCTGGTATATATTTCCAGCACCTGGAATAGTACCTAGCACACAGTAGGCGCTCAGTAAATATTTGTTGAATGAAGGAACAAATAGGTATTAGTTTAAAAATGTTAGTTTCTTGAGGGTAGAGATTACCCCCCCCCCCTTTTTTAACCTGTATCTCCACTGCCTAGTGACATAAATCAGGGTATTTTTGTTGTTGTTGTTGACTGAAAAACTGAATCATGAATGTATAGTGGAACCAATCTGCCTTCTGTGGTTTTCTAAGTCTAGGATGCTCAGTTGCACCCCCCACTTACCTCTCTACCTATTGCATTCGAACTTCTGTTCCACCATTACATTGATGAAGCTTGTATTAAAATTGATCTGGTGAGCCCTGACTGGTTTCCTCAGTGGTTAGAGCATTGGCCTGTGTACGGAAGGGTCTTGGGTTCGATTCCTGGTTAAGGGCACGTACCTTGATTGCAGGTTCACTTCCCATCCTCCCCCCCCCCCCCCTTGGGAGGCAACCAATTGATATGTCTCTCTCACATCAATATATCTCTCTCCCCTCCCTCCCTCCCACTCTCTGAAAAAAGCAATGGAAAAAAATATCATTGGTTGAGGATTAACAACAACAAAAAATAACATTGATCTAGTTACTAGATTCAGTGGATACTTTTCCAGACTTTTTATTACTTTCTGGGTCCTGTTGATCCTGCCTCTGTCTCCAGTCTCCCATCTCCACTGACAACTCAGGTTCATGCCTCACCATTTTTCACTTAGGTAACACAGTACCCTCCTAGAAGTGGTCCTCTTACTTCCAGGGCACTTGTTCTCTCTTTTCACACTGTTGCCAGGATGACCTGTCTAAAAGACAAAGAAAACAAAAACCAATTATGACATTTATGAGACAATTGAAAATTT